AAAAATATATTTATGGCTCTCGAATAATTTTTAAATTGTTGTGAGGGACAGGATTGGCTCTTCCAGGGGTCGGCAAACTTTTGAGATGGAGTGTACCCAAAGAGCCGCATGTGGCTCGTGAGCCGCAGTTTGCCGACCCCTGAGCTAGACAGCTGAACTGGAATTCCTGTCTCCTGGAGGTCTCAGCTCCACACGGCTACTGGCAATAGCCTTCACAGGACATGGCTACTTGTCACTCCTTGGTTGAAAATGCCAATAACCCTGGAGGGGAGCACCAAAGTTGCAGGCCTCTCTCTGCATCCCTTTCTTCTCTATGGCCATACCAGACTTTTGAGATTCTTCACTCATTTTTGCCTACCCTGGGGCCTTTGCATATATTATTGCTTCTGACTGAAACATCCACACTCTGTCTCCATTCCTCCTTTGCAATCAAACCTTCCCTGACCACTGTCTGACCAGGTCTAAGTCCTGTGCTTAGACCTGTGCATCAGGAGCACTTATCTCAGCTTGTGTGATTGTGGAACGTCCCACCCTCAGGGCAGGATCCAGGTTGGCTCTGAACCCAGGCATTTCCTACTCCAAAGCCTCTCTGTCTTTCTACTCCACCACTCAGACTTGCTTCTCAGGTGTTCCTCTAGCCCAGGTTATAAGAGCAGACAGGACTTGCTTTCAAAGAAGGCTTTCATTAGCTACTTGCAGAGCATCGCTTAGGTCCGAACAATAAGACCAACACTTTAATCCTTCCACAGGCGTCAGCATCCACTGGGTGAAGGCTGTACCAGGTTAGTGTTGCTTCACCAGCTGGATGCTGCACATCTTTCCACAGCCAAAGGGTGTGTGTTTGGGGGCGGCAGGGGTCGGGAGGAAGGAGGCGGAGCATCTGTACATCTGTACCGCGCTACAGGCAGAAAAGTTGAACGCCCCTTCTAGTAATTTTACTTCTAGGGTTTTCTCTTTAGGATATAACCAGAAATAGGAGTCAAGAGTTTACTGTGCAAAGTTTTTCATCACCAACCACTATCTCTGATATTGAGAAATGAGGAACAAACCAAGTACCAGCTGGAATTGATTATAAGAGGGTGCATTCATACAGTTGACCAAAAAGGGGCCCTTACCAACCATGTTGTAGAAGAATATTTCATGACAAAGGAAAAGACTCACAATATGTGAAATGAAAAAGGATACAAATGAACAGTGGTTATCTCCACGTAGTGTGATGGTGGTGGGTTTTCTCTTATTCTCAGTATTTTCTCCATTGTTTTACATTGAGTGGTATTAGGTCATCAGTGGGTTTTAAACATCCAGTTGGTCGCACACAACGGCAAGTGTTCATTGTACCCGGTGGGCACGAGGAGGCCAGGGCAAGTGATCTCGGTGTCTTGCCCTTGCCTTGGCCAGGCCTCTCGTGTGGTTGCTTCCTCTGACTGTGTTACCTGGTGCCCCACTCCCAGGCCCTCACTGTGCTTTCCCACCTGACATTAGTCATAATGCATCATCTGCTATCCCCACAAGCTATGCGGGAACCTCCTGCAGATACCCCAGCTTTTCCAATTGATTTAGTGAGGTGACTGCCCTGGTCCCCCCAACCTTTGCAGAGTTTGGGGAGATGCAACTGAATTCAGGAATAAGCCTTTATGAATAAGCCTGATTCAAGGAGAAAAGGCGACTGATCATCAATGTTTTCTGGCCTCTTCCCCAGTTCCAAACTCTGGATAGTAACTCATTTCCTGCCGATCTCCCCTCTACCCCCCCAAAGGACTCCCTTCGGGTGTATCATCGCTCCCAAGCAGATTCCCAACCTCAGTCCAGGGACCAACTCCTCTCCCTCCGCTTCCCACTCCAGGACCCAGTGTGGCATGGGTGGGAGGAGATGGGGCACTGCACATAAACCCTGTGGGATTAAATTGATTTGTTTTAGTCTCCGTAGCCTACTTGCAGATCTGTTCTGATTTCTGGAAATCCTGAATTATAAAGTAGGGGAAGTCAAGGAGTTTGCCTTTAGTAATAATAAAAATGCACATTGTCTTGCTGTGTGCAGGGTTCAGCCACTACATCCGTTCCTCGCTCAGCAGCCAGTGGGATCGCATCACCTCTGCTCAGATCTTTCAACGGTGAAGGTCTGGTGTCTCACCTTGGCCATCAAGGCCCCTCCAGCCCCTCCAACCCCTTTCCTCCCCCGCCTGCCCCTCCCTGTGGACTTCCAGAAGTTCCCTGCCCTCTCTCACCTCTGAGCTTCCACACCTCCTGTCCTCTCCACCTTTCTCCTGTCTGGTTCTGCCTGGTCAGGGCTCAGCCAAGGCCCACTTCCCACAGGAAGTCTCCCCATGCTTGAGTCTGGGCCCACTCTTCCCTCAGTCTGACTGTTAACCACATCTGGCTCCCTAACTGCCCAGAGGTGAGGGGTCTGTTTCCTCATCAGCTGTGAGCTCATGAGGTTAGGGACTGTGTCTGTCTTGGTGACAGAGTTCAGTGGTAGGTGGCAGCATCTCAAATCATTGTTAAATGGAATCTACTGGAAATAAAACTTTTATCTTTGACCAGGCTGCCTGGGTAGAACGTCAGGTGTAGATGTGTGGATCTAAAGTGTCTGCCGAGCTCTGCGTTACGGAGTGGAAGCTCTTTATTATTAATCAACATGGCTGACTGTAGTGGGGATCCTCCACAGTGTGGAGCGGGGAGAATAATAAAAAAAATTGGGGGGGAAAGGTTGAGGACTGGGGCTCTGAATGTAGGTTTTGCCCTTGGAAATGTAGTACTGGGGAGGATGTGTGTTCCTTAAACAGGAAATGGATGGGTCAAGAGGCACTGAGTTGGGGGTCAATGAGCCCCTTGAAACTGTAGTGTAATGAAGTTGCAGCTGTTGGAATGAAAGTCAATTTGCTCAAGATGCTTGGTTTTTGGCCCCAAAGGTGGGCTGTGGGCCAGGAAGAGGCCACCCAGCACTTAGAGGCTGAGTGCCTGCAAGGAGAGACAGGAGTTGCAATGAAAGTCTCAGCTGTGCCACAGAGCAAGTCCTGAACACAGCAGGCTGGTTGTGGGGCCTGGGCTGGGAGATCTACATCCCAGCTGCTGCGGTCAGGACAGGTGCATTCCAGGGAGCCCTCCACACCACCCAGGCCTGCCGGTGAGGTGGAATTGGGGGGTGAGGAGGGGAGGTCGCTGTTTGAGCTCACCTCCTGGAGATAGTGAGGAGGTTCATTCAGAGCTCTGATTCTGCCACTTATAGTGTGCGGGTTGGGGGATCAGCCTGGTAAGAGCATTGGCCCTTGAGCTGAATGTCACTCCTCTGACCTGGGGTCTGGCCTCACTTCTCTGAGCTTCAGTTTCTTCATCTGAAAAGTGGGACCGCACCACCCCTATACCTCACTAGGCTGCTGTGAATGTTCAAGTAGATCAAGTACCTAAAATGTGCAAGTAAAATCAAACACCTGGCACATGGAAACAACTAATGAATTTTGGATTTTTATCATCACGGAACCTACAATGTGGGGCATTCTTTATTCCTGTTTTTATGAGTTCCCGAGGACAGTATGCGTTTATCTGTCGAATGAACGAATTAATGCAAAAAACAGTTTTATTGAGATTCCCACGTTTACTTCCGCACGGCTGACCCAGGCCACTGCTGGCTACTGCTCTTTCAGGCTCAGCAACCGCCCACAAACCCGCGATTCCCGACGACAACCTGCTGGGCGCCCGAGGATTCGCGCAGCTGGTGGCTCATCCTCATTCTCACCCCCACAATCAAGGAAAGTGAGGCTTGGGCAAGACTCCACACGCTCAAGGTCAGCCTAGCGGCGGGGGTGAGGCTCCACGCGTAGGCTCCCACCCTCGCCTGCTAGGGCAGCCCCTGCTACCCCCTGGCGTGGGCGTCGCCACAGCCCCATCCTGCTCCGATACCTGTCGCGAGCCTCCCCCGGGGTTTGCGCGGCACCTTCTAGCCTAGGGGAGCGGGAGCCGGGGGCGGACTGCGCACCCCTTTCCCATCCGGTAAATTCTCTACGCTGGAGCCTGGATTGGGTGGCGGGGGATGCCCTGGGGGTCAGATGCCCCATCCGCCCTAGCCCTCCTCTGTCCCAGCCTTCCCTCGGAGCCTAGCAGGAAGTGGGGAGTAGGGAGTGCCCAGTGGTGACCCGGAGTGACTGCGTCTGGGTCCCGCGCCACCTAATTCGGGCGCCCGCGGGGGTCCCGGGTCCGCCTCCCGCCCACGTGGCCAGCGGGGCCTCCCCGCTCCCGCCCCTGGCCCCGCCCCAGGGAGGTCCAGGCTGTGGCTCCGCCGCCGCCGCCGCCGCCGCCGCCGCCGCCGCCGCCGCCGCCGCCGCCGCACGCTCTCCAGCCCCCGCTGGGTCGAGCCTGCGCTGGGCGCCAAGGTGAGTGCGGGCGGCTGGCCGGGAACCCCGCCCCTCCGCTCCGCCCTCCCTGGCTGGACACCCCGCTAGACAACCCAGAGCGGGACATTATGTGAGGTCAGCTCCTCCCCTGCGCTAACCGACGGCCCCGGAGCTGGACCCCCCACTCCGAGTCGCCCACAGCGGGTCGCGGTGCCAGCAGCGGCCTCAGTGCGCTTCCTGGCCCAGGGCACTTGGAGCGCCCTGGGGCGCCCTGGGTACGGCGCAGGTGGGCAGAGCCACCGCCTGTCCCGACTGGCCGCCGCTCGCGCTGGAGACCCTGACTTCGGTCCACTGGTAGCTCTTGAACGAAAGTTCCCGGATCAACTTCCGGGGAGCGAGGCGCCACCTGTCTTGGGACCCAGCCCCTTTCTCCGGGTGTCTTCCCCAGCCCTGGTGGGTTGCCCGCAGGTCAGAGTCGCGTCGGGCGCTGCTGGTCGTGGCTCGCCAGGCCGTCCGTCACTTTGCCGGCTTTGAGCGCGCGGGGCGGTGGCCGGGTTTCGGCCCGCCTGGGCCCTTGTACCGGGGCTGCATCTTTTAAACTGCGCGGCCAGAGGATCTTGAGATCGAGGCAAGGGAGGCGGCCACCAAGGGGTTAATGTGAAGCACCGAGCCTCACAGCCAGAGACGGGTGAGCGTTTTCGGAGTGTGAAAGTTGACCGAGCCGGGTGGAAATGGGTTCCTTTGGGATTTGCCACGAGGAAGAGCCGCCCTTGCATTATCAGCGGTCTCATCGTGGGCTTGAACGTTGCTGAAAAAGAGCGGCTTGTTCCTAGAGGACTCTCGCTCACTCAATGCCTGAAAGGATGCACCTGCAGATACTTAAGCGTTTTATGCACTACCCAGGTGTAACTGCGTTCTTCCCTGGGGTGTGGAAGAGAAGAGCGTTGCTATGTCTTTGTCTTAGCTGTGTAGTCTTGGGCAAGTTACTTCACCTATCTGTGCCTCAGGTTTCTCATCTGTAAAATGGGGGTGATAATAATACAAACCTTAAAGGGTTGTGTAAGATCAAAGCTCTTAAAATTGTGCCTGGTACAAGGTAAGTTCTACATGTGTTAGCTGCTCTTATTCTTATGGCTGACGCTGATCTAACTGGGCATTCTCATCCCTAGCTCCCCAGTGAGGTGGCTGAGCAGGCTCTTGGTCCTTCCCCTTCTCCTACTGAGGAGCTGCCTTATTCAGACAATTGCCGTGGTGTCCCCTTCAGCCCTGAAACACTCTAACTTTGCAGTAACACTTACTATAGTTAACCGGCCTTGTGCAAAATGTATCTCAGAATGTGAGATTAGAGATGACCTTTGTCAAGGACACTCATGAGAAATGGAGTCTCGGGCCTCCTCTGGAAGCTCTGGGGTGTACCTGGATGTTTGCCTCTCTGGGGTGGAGTGGATAAAGTTTCACGTGAATTCCTTCAGGCCTTGGGTCCCCCGACAGTCTGACATTCTCTAGTTTCTATGAGTGTGACAGTCTATTTAGGGGCCCAAAGGCCTGATCTTGTCTCCTCCCCTCTATTCATTCACCTCTCACAGATTGCCCCCTCCCTCAGTTTCCCTGGGCTGCAACAGTTTACTTTCTTCTGGCAGTGGCATCCACAGACAGGAGCTCTCAAACTGGCGTTCCAGGAACCACCTGAAATGTACATGAGATGCTTGGCGCATGGGTGTGTGTTTTTCCAGAGTGGTCCCTTTTCATCATATTCTGCAAAAGGCCCGCACCCCACAAAAGTGCACCCTGAACAGCTGGTGGGGAGATGTGGGTTCTCACCCCCTGGACAGGGCAGGCCCACATTTTGGGGGAGTGTAGATGTCACTGTTACCTCTGCCTCCTAGAGGTGGAAGTGCACATGTGTTCCTCTGTGCCCTCGCTCAGGAATTTCCCAGTGGAAAATTCAGGTCTGCCTGGGCTTGGGAAAATTTGATAAAGAAGTCAGTGTGGGAAGAGGAAGCAGGCTGTAGGGGTAGGGAATGTTGGCCCATGATGGAGCCTTTAGGAGGGGATGCAATTCATGAAAATTTGAACTCAGGTTGTTAGTAGACTTCCCAGAGCCTTTGCACATGCTCTTCCCTCTCCCAGCACAACTTTCCACCACTGCTTCTCATGTCTGGCGCTTTCATGCCCTTTAGCTCAGTTGTCTCCTCTGTAGAGAAGGTTTCCCTGACCACTTTGTCCAAAGCAGCCCCTTCCCTTATCAATTTCTGTCACATTCTCCCATTGTATTTTTTTTCATGGAGCTTAACTGAAACGATCTTACTCACATATTTATGGGTTTATTGTCTGCATCCACCCAGGAGAATGTAGAATCCAAGAGTACAGAAGTGGTGCCCTGTTCACTGCTGAACTCTGGCCCCTGGCATGCAATGGATGCTCAATAAATGTCCCTGAGTGACAAGAATGAGTGAGTACCCACTGAATGAAGTGAGGTGAGGCCGCAGTGCTTTTAAGCGTAGTGAAATGCAAAGGAACTGGCCACTAGTCAGGAGATCCAGGTTAAAAGTGACCTTTAAGGTCACCCAGTTCAACCTGAAGTTTAACCACTTTCACCCCCTCTCTTCCTAGTTATTGCTTAACCTGAGCTTGAATCCTCCAGTGACAAGGGAGCTCCTTGCCTCCTGAGACAGCCCATTCCATTGGATGAGAGATGGGGGATGCAGAGAACCAGATGTGGTCCCTGTACCCACTCTGATGAGGATGAGATGTGGCCTCCAGGCTTTTTTGCACGCTATCATTCCAGTCCTCTGGTCTACTCTACATCCTGATCACCCTTCATCCATCACTGTCTGTCCCGGTGAGCTTTCTCTACTTCTGTGCCATCACCAAGGTTCCCAAGCCCCTGACCAGAACTCAGTGTACTACTGAGTCATCTATCATCAGAAGGGGCCAAAGGCAAAAAGTCATCAAGAGAAAACTGCTGCAGTTTAGAGCACTTAAAGGCCAAGTTCTCTATTATTCAGGACCCTGTAACTGCATTGGGCAGGGGTGGTGAGTGTGAGTGGGAAAGTGGGGTGGGGCTCTTTTCTTTCACTCTTTTGTTCTTTCCCTGAGTTTTCTGAATCATGCTTTAATCAATCTATGAATTGTGGCTATAGCTATGTTTAAAAAATAAATCCTTGGACCCATTATCTTAATAGTTTGTACAAATGTTGTCTGATTCATATCACCTTGCATGTACAGGTCACAACTCAAGTGAGAGTGAAATGTTTTTATGTATGATGGATTCTGATTTAGTGAGTCCAGTTTTCTGCGTGGGAGATCACCAGTGTGGTGGGTAGAGTGGGGTCTGCTATGGAGAGATTGGAAGATAAACTTTTCTTCTTCACGTTAATGAAAATTGTTCATTTAGTTATGAAAATGGATACACATTTTTATGGGAAAAAAAAAAAGACTGAGGAACCTGTAGTTAATTGAAGTCATATCTATACATGTGCTCTAGCCACTTAGCTCAGCTCATTTACTTCATTTATTCAAGAATCATTTATCGAGAGAAGGTTCTGGCACTGGGCCACACAGCAGTCAAGGAAATGGACCATGTTCCTCCCTTGTGGAGTTTACATCCCAATGGAGGAGATGGACAGTAGACAGCTAGACCTATAATATGATGTCAGGGAGTGTGATCAGTGTAATGAAGAAGACGAAGCCGGGTAAGGGTACCCAGAGTGACTGGGATGGAGGCAGAGTTGGTTAGTAAGGGAGGGTCTCGGAGCAGCATTCGAGCAGCCATATGGATTTGTGGGGAAGACCGTTCCATTCATGTGGAACCCTAGGCTCTGGTTGAGTCCCTGGTGTAGCCAGTCAGCTCTTGTGCCCTGGCATGGTCTGTCTCACTGGGGAAGGCCATGTGGGCAGAACCTCTCCCATCTCCTCCCCAAATCCTAGCAGATGGCTGGAGTACGATTTTGGCATTGTGTGCTGTCTGGTTGACCAGAAGCCTTCTATTCCAGAGAGTGGGACCCAGAGTGATGATGTGTTTCCTAAAATTGCCCCCTGGGCTCTGAGCATGAGACTAGGGGGCACTGCTGGGATTATAATTCTACACACAGTAAGACTTGCCTGACCCCACCTGCCCTGGCCATGGACTCCTCTTTTGTGTCATTTGGTTACATCCACTTCATCACCTAGAGGGAACCACTTAGAATTACTTAGCAAGGCTTTGGTGGAAAAATGAAGAGATCAAAATATATAGGATCATGGACCAGGAGATGCATGCTTCCCATTCTCTCCATCAGTTGGTTGGTTGATTGATTAATTGATGGTATTTAACACAGTATAAGATTCCTGGGGCTTAAGGCATGAGATCTTGGCTGTATGACCTTGAAGTACTAACTTAGACTTTCTGAGTCTTGGTTTCTTCATGTGTAATATTGGGGAGGAGGTGTGACAGAGAGGCTTCTTGGAAAAAGTGACATCTAAGAAGATAAAAAAGAGATGGCTACAAGTCACCCCTAATGGAAGGTGGGGTGGGATGGAAGGAAGAGAGAACAGCATGTGCAAAGGTACAGATAAAGAGTTACCAGCATTCAGATGATACAAGATTCTCACTGATTATAGCAGTGTGTGTGTGTGTGTGTGTGTGTGTGTGTGTGTGTGTGTGTGTGTGTGTGTGTGTGTTGGAGTATGCTGTGGGAAGGGAACTGACATAGCAGCCTGCAGTAAATGCCAGTTGACCTGAATGGCTGTGCCTTGTGCTATGGGCTCTGCACTGACATCCTCAGATATTCTCTACAACTATCCTGTGGCACAGGCCCTCTGAGTGTCCCCATCCCCTAGACCAGGACATTGAGGTGTAGAGTGATGAATAACTTTACATCTGTGTGTCTCCCTGGGGCTCTGCTTGGTTGTATCAGGAGAGCTGGAGGTGATGAGGATTCTTCCCAGATTTATTCGGTGATGTCAAAAGAGATGGGTGCTTTGAAATATCTCTGACAGGCCTCACTTGGTGCACATCCTCATGGAGTCAACTCTGGGATGGCAGAGGCCATTCCCAGACAAACGCTCAGTCCCTGGCACAGTGAGGGTTTGCTGGGATGATACATGGGTGCCTCAGGGTCACTGGTGGCCACAAAAGAACAAGGCTGGAGGAAGTCAACCCCTTCATTTCCCAGGTGTCTCCTGACTTTTCCAAGGTGGACCCACAAGTCAGGGCAGAGCTGAACATGGGGCTTGAGTCAAAACCAAACTGCCCCAGAAAGAGAGGCTGGGAACCTTGGCCGGAGTTAGAGGACAGAGGAGGCATTTTGGTGGGTCTTCCCTGTCAGCTAGCTAAAGACCAACATAGTTATTTAACAGCCCAACTTGGTTCCTTGTCCCAAACCCCACTTCCAGCCAGCACGTGGTAACTTTATGGGTCTGGATTTTCTGTTCCTGATGATAGAACCCCAAGCTCTGAATTCATCTTCAATTCTGAGCTCAGCAATATTTTCCTGGAAACAGGAGCCATGCACTGGCTGGCTTTAAGGCAAATTGAAATGCCTGAAGGTTGTGGAGAGTGGAACGCAGTTAGGGTCCTGTGTTCCATTCTTAGCTCCAGTATTACTAGCCTAGTGACCTTGGACAAGCTCATCTGTAAATGGAGACAGTGCTTGGCTAAACCTCATAGGTTTGCTGTGAGGATTAAATGAGGAATTATTTGCCAAGTGCTTATTCCTACCATAGCTGGCATGCAGGAAGGGATGGCTGTGGTTGTCGTATGGTGACTAAGACTGACCCAGGTCACTCCATCACTGCTTTGTGCTCCTGTAGGAACGGCATGCTCACATAATGGAAGTTCGTCATTCCAATTTGGATGCTTTGCCAAGGGCAGGCACTGTCCTTTTCAGAGACGATCTGATTAGGAGCCAAATCTGGATAATGGGGTTAGGAGTCAGTTTATTGTGAGACAGAGGCCAGGTGTGAAAGGCCATTGAGACTTCCTGTCCAACCACACCCACCATCCTCTCCCACGGTGCTCTCACACCAGTCTCCCCAGCCTACAGTGGTCCTCCCCATTTACCCATGGCCCTTGGTCCCTGAAGGGCATGCAATACCCTTGCAACCTGGTTGCTTCAACTTGCTGTACTGATGATTAATCTTCACCACACCACACCCCGAGTCACCTGCTGGACCCCCTAACGGAGCTGAACCTGACAGCCCCCTAGATGCCCCAGAGGCATCCCAACTTGCACATCTTTGCTCCTGCTCGTCCCACTACCCGAAATGCCTTTCTGCTCTTGTCCACTTTCAGAACTTCCCACATGGCCCAACTCCAGTGACCTCTTCCTTCTTTCCTTCCCTTTTGGATAGAAAAAATGCTGTTTTTGCATGAGAAACCCCAGTTATACACTTAGTATATACAAATGCAAACAAATTGGAAGTTGTAGAGTAAATGTTGAAATGACACCTCCCCTATTTCAGGCTTGCTTCTGGCGAGAACATTTATGGTCAGCTGGCTTTATGTTTTTACACCTAGATGTGTGTACCCGTGAATATCTTTAAAAACCAACATAATGGGCTCATTTTATAGGTCTTGTTTCCCAACTAATTTCTTTTCTATTTAGCTATATGTCCAAGAGAACTTTCTCTGTCCATAAGCATCTCTTCTTTTTTAAAACCCTGCCCTGACTCGCTGCCTCCTCAGGGAAGAGTGTACACATTTGTGTGAAAATGTTTTCAGTTCTCTTGGGTATATAGCTCGCAATGGAATTGCAGTCATGGGGTAACTCTATGTTTAACATTTCGAGGAACTGTAAAACAAGTTTTCCAAAGTGGCTGCCCCATTCTGCAACCCTACCAGCAGTATATGAGGGTTCCCGTCACTCCACATCCTCACCGACCCTTGTGATTGTCCATCTTTTTTATTATTACGGTCCTAGTGCATGTGAAGTGGTATCTCATTGTGGTTTTGATTTCCCTCATGACTAGTGGTGTTGGATATCTTTTTTTTACTCCATTTTTTTACTATACTTTTGAGCAGTTTGGGGTTTGTAGTGAAATTGAGAGGAAGATACAGAGATTTCCTCTTTGCCCTCTGCTCCCACCCATGCATAGCCTCCACCACGATCAACATCACTCACCAAAATGGTACGTTTGTTACCAAGGATGAACCTACATTAACATGTCATAATCATCCAAAATCAGTAGCTTACCTGAGGGTTCACTTTTGGTGGTGTACTTTCAGAGGGTTTGGACAAATGGATAATGACATTTATTCATCATTATAATATCATACAGAATATTTTCACTGCCCTAAAAATCCTCTGTGACCCATCTGTTCATCCCCATCTCCCCTCCCCCGCCACAACCATGATCTTATTGTCTCCATAGTTTTTCATTTTCCAGAACATCATATAGTTGGAATCATATAGTATGTAGCCTTCTCAAATGGGCTTCTTTCACTTAGTAATATGCATTTGAGGTTCCTTCATGTCTTTTCATGTCTTGATAGCTCATTTCTTTTCAGCACTGAATAATATTTTATTGTCTGGATGTACCACAGTTTATCCATTCACCTACTGAAGAACATCTTGATTGCTTCCAAGTTTTGGCAATTATGGATAAAGCTGCTATTAACATCTATGGGCAGGTTTTGTGTGGACATAAGTTTTCGACTCCTTTGGGTAAATACCAAGGAAAGTGATTGTTGGATCTTATGGTAAGAGTATGTTTAGTTTTGTAAGAAATCATCAGACTGTCTTCTGAAGTGGCTGGACCATTTTGCATTCCCACCAGCCATGTATGAGAGTTCCTGTTGCTTCACATCCTTGTCAGCATTTGATGATGTCGCTGTTCCAGATTTTGAACATTTTAATAGGTGTGTAGTGCTATCTTAATGTTGTTTTGATTTGCATATCCCTGATGATATTTGATGTGGAGCATCTTTTCATATGCTTGTTTACCATCTGTATATCTTCTTAGGTGAGGTACCTGTTAAGGTCTTTAGCCCATTTTATATTCTGGTTGTTAGTTTTCTTATTATGGAGTTTCAAGAATTCTTTGTATATTTTAGATAACTTCTTTATCACATGCGTCATTTGCAAATATTTCTCCAAGTCTGTGACTTGTCTTCTAATTCTGTTGGTATTGGCTATTGCAGAGCAGAACTTTTTAATTTTTTTAAAAAAGATTTTATTGGGGAATTGGGAAGGGGAACAGTATTGGGGAATTGAGGAAGGGGAGCAGACAAGTTGCTGTCCTTTGGTTCTTCAGTCTGGTTGTGGAGGACGTCGCTTCACTGGCCCATGTTGGTATTATCATTGCGTTCTTCCCAGCTGAGGCAGATAAGTCGCCTGCCATTGGACGGCTGCTCATGGCAGCTCACAAAAGCACACGCCAGCTGCCAACCAGCCCCACTGCAGCCTACGCTGTCACCGGCAGCCCAGCTCCAGGTCAAGCTGTTGTTCACCATCTTAGCTGTAGAGGGCCCAGCGTCACTGGCCCACATGGGATCTGACCTGGTGGCCCTGCTGCTCAGAGCTTGCACTCCCAAGCCAACTCTAAACAAATGAGCCACTCGGCCGGCCCCTAGAAGTTTTTAATTTTAATGAAGTCCAGTTTATTAATTATTTCTTTCATGAATCGTGTTTTTGGTGTCTCTAAAAAGGCATCACCATACCCAAGATCATCTAGGTTTTTCTTCTAGGAGTTTTATACTTTTGCAGTTTACAATGAAGTCCATGATCTATTTTGAGTTGATTTTTGTGAAAGGTGTAAGATCTGTGTCTAGGTTTACGTTTTTCATGTGGATATCCAGTTCTAGTGCCATTTGTTAAAAAGATGGTCTTTGCTCCATTGCCTTTGCTCCTTTGTCAAAGATCAGTTGACTATATTTATGGGCGACTCTTTCTGGGCTCTCTAATCTGTTCCATTGATCTATTTGTCTATTCTTTTGCCAGTACCACACTTTCATGATTACTATAGCTTTATAGTAAATTTTGATGTCAGGTAGTGTCAGTTCTCCAACTTTGTTCTTTTTTGGTATTGTGCTGGCTGAATATCTTTTTATGTGTATTAGCCATTTATATATCTTCTTTGGAGAAATATCTATTCAGACATTTTGCCTATTTAAAAAATTTGGTTATTTGTATTTTTATTATTGAGTATAAAGGTTATTTATATATTCTAGATTTAGTCCACTATCAGATACATGATTTTCAAACATTTTCTCCCATTCTGTGGGTTGTCTTTTCACTTTCTTGATGGTGTCTTTTGAAGCACAAGCTTTTAATTTTGATGAAGTCCAGTTTATCTATTTTTCATGTATTGCTTGTGCATCTGGCATCATACTTAAGAAACCTTTGCCTAATCCAAGTTCAAGAAGATTTATGCCTAAGTTTTCTCCTAAGAGCTTTATAGTTTTAGCTCTTAGATTTAGGCCTTTGATCCATTTCGAGTTAGTTTTTGTGTGTTGAGTGGGGTAGAGATCCAACTTCATTCTTTTGCACATGGATATCCTGTTGTGCCAGAGCGATTTGTTGAAGAGGTCATTCTTCCTGTTGAATTGTCTTGACATCCTTGTCTAAAATCAACTGACCATAAGTAGAAGTATTTATTTCTGCACTGTCCATTCTATTCCATTGATCTGTATGTCTGGCCTGATGCCAGCACCACTGTTTGATTATTGTAGTATTGTAGCACAAATCAAGAAATGTGAGTCCTCCACCTCTGTCCTTTTTCTTCATTGTTCTGGCTATTCTGTGTCCCCACCAGCTTGTTACTTTCTGCAAAATAGGCCGCTGAGATTTTGATAGGGTTTGTGTTGAGTCTGTAGGTCAGTGAGGAGTTTTTCCATTTGAACATTACATCTGGATCCCGATGTACTTTTTTTTTTTTTAATTTTTTTAATTTTTATTGGGGAATTGGGGGGATGGGAACAGTGCTGGGGAACTGGGGGAAGGGGAACATACAAGTTGCTGTCGTTTTTGTTCTTCAATCTAGTTGTGGAGGATGTTGCTTCACTGGCCCAAGTTGGCACCGTCATTGCGCTCTTCCCTGGTGAGGCAGATCAGTCGCCGGCTTCTGGACGGCCGCTCACTGCGGCTGCTGGCCGCTCACGCTGGCTGCTGGCTACACACGGTAGTAGCCCATGGCAACCCACTGCCAAAGGGGCTGCAGCCTATGCCGTTGCCGGCGACTCACGGCAGCCCAGCTCCAGGTTGAGCTGTTGTTCAGCATCTTAGCTGT